CGTCTCGAGGTCGTAGCTCCGAGAATGCACCCTTTTCCTGGAGGCCCCGTGCTTTCTGCAAGGGTCCGGCAGTCCCCGGCGAGGGCTCGAGCCGAAGCTCCAACACCGCCGGGTGCCTGGACCTTGCAGACCAGCAGACACACCTCGCGACCGCTGTGCCCAGCCGAGCCACGGTTAGCCAGCCGCTGCGGAGCCCAACGTCCTCATCTGCGAAATGGGGTTTACAGCACTTAGCGCAGGAGTGGAGTGGAAACTAAGCGAGATGGGGACACAAGTGCCCCAGCTACAGGGAAGAATGATCATACTCTGTGACTGTGTTGTGACGGGTGTAAGACAGGTACCACTTCCCTCTAATTTCTCCCCTTCCAGCAAGTACCTTTCTGCCTCAGTCCCCAACGTATTTCCCCGGTCCTTACTAATGACCTGGGCGGCTCTGTCCTCCAGGCGAGGACTTTGGCCTGGGCGGGTGTGAGTTCCAGGGCAGTACGTTCCTCCCCGTTGCAGTAGACGGTACACCTGTGACTTACCGTCAGAAATCCAGCATCATGGAAAAATGATGCTTATTATAGAGTTGCAGAAGTAGTTTATATTCTCTTACTTAATGCCATCTTAATTTACCAAACGGGACGAAGCCCGGCAATTCAAAAACCAAAACCAAACAAAAAATCAAATCTCCCGTTTAACTGACTCGAGTGACTGTTCCTCCGTTATCCTGCTGTTTTTTCTCCTCTTCCTGTTACTTCCCGGGTTTTCTCCAGAGTTTTTTCTCCCAGCCCTCTTATTTTGCATTTTGTTATTTGTTAAACATGCGTCTCAGACGCTCAGCCTTCGGGTCGAGCTTCACGCAGCAGAAGCGAGATGCTGGCTGTGTCTCGAGCGCCAGAGCGGCAGAAGAAGAGTAGTAGAAGAGCAGATACAATTTTATGGTTTGAAGGCGAACTGACAAAATATTGTGAAGGCAGATAACATCTCTGGAGTAAAATTCTTGTAATTTTTCAGTCATTCCCGATGTGAAAATTAGATTCTCAGGTCTGGAAGGGGGGACAACCAAGCATGTCCACCGGGACAAAGGGTGGGGGCAGTATCACGAGGTGCTCTTTCTGACTTGTGTATATATGGGGCATTTCCCCCCGTAACTCATGGCAAATACCGATTGTTTCCACCTGCTCTTCTCTGTGGATGAAGGCATGCAATTTATTTTTTCCTTGGATCCTCCGCCCGTACCCTGGCTCGCGAAGCACGTGCCATCTGACCGGTCTGCGTGGGCCGAGGGGTGGCTGCCGCCCCAGCTGGCAGTGCCCCAAGAGCGCAAAACATGAGTTGTCAGCACTTCACTCTTCCGAATCCCTTCTTTGATGTTATTTTAACAAGTGAACACTGGGTTCTTTTTATAATTTTAGAAATTTCATAAAGCCAACGCCTGGTTTGGAATGCCGGCAGAGAAGAGGAGAGGAGAGAACGGAAAAAAAAGGTGGAAACTGAAACCCGTGGGCTGAGAAAAGTCGATAAAAAACAATTGGGAATTGCGACGGCCTGTCCAACGCAGGAGAAAGACAAAATAAAAAAGAGTAGTGGGCCAAAAACCAACATATTAGGTTCCTAAACTGGTACTTAGAAAATTTCTAAGAGCATAAAATAAAGTGTAACAAATTCCTCATCCTCCCGGCTCAGTGCATGAGCATGAATGAAGCAGAAGGCTTCCCCCCCACACCCCTTGCGCAAAGCCCTGGGGCTCGGCCCTCCTCTGGCTCGCACATCAGGCAGCCTGTGCAACCTCCCCCCTTTCACGTAGAGTTCATGAGGTCTCGGACAGTGGAGGAAATTAGGTATTTGTGGATCCAACGTGTACCAAGTAATTTTTCCTATTTATGCTGGGGAGGGGCAGAGAGAAAACAGTAGGCTCACGGGCCTGTTTCCCTGGCACTCCCAGCCCAGGACCCGGGGCAGCCCTTTGCACGCGAAGTGCGTGTGTGCAGGGTGGCGGGGAAAGGGGGCCGCTTCCCAGGGTCTCCCCTGTGATCCCATCTCCTCCACAGTGCCGCCCTCGGCCCAGATGGCACGAACAAGATTCTACATCTGCTCAGCCTCCCAATCACGGGGCCGTCCCCTTCTTGTGGGTGTAAGGAAAGCTCTGATACCGTTCGATTCAGCAGGAAGCGGTCAGGTGGGGAGAAATATTTAACGTAAGCTCCCGACCACAAGGGACTCGTCTCGGCCTCCTCTGTGGGAGCAGGAGCACTAGCTCCTCAGTGCGGGATTCTAGAGAAGTTTCGGCGCCAACGCCCTGTCCCACTTGGTACGGCAAGAGCCAGAGCCTCTAAGTGTCGGGCTCTTTGGACTTACTGTAGACAGTGTCAGTTAGCTTCACGCTCCATATCTGGCATTTTCTCCTGGTGGGCATTTGAGGGAGAACCCTTTTGTTCATCAAGTGGACTTCAGAAGGAATCCAAAGATGACTTCAGAGGCAGCAGACAGGCAGTGCCCGCCGATACAGCTTTATACTTGAATGACCAGAGGAAGCGCAAGCAACAAAGACCTGAGGCCGGGCGCGGTGGCTCACGCCTGCATCCTGGCACTCTGGGAGGCCAAGGCAGCAGGTTGGCTCGAGGTCAGGAGTTCGAAACCAGCCTGAGCAAGAGGGAGACCCCATCTCTACTATAAATAGAAAGAAATTAATTGCCACAATATACTATATTATATTATAGGGAGAAAAATTAGCTGGCATGGTGTGCATGCCCGTAGTCCCAGCTACTCGGGAGGCTGAGGCAGGAGGATCGCTTGAGCCCAGGAGATTGAGGTGCTGTGAGCTAGGCTGACGCCAGGGCCACTCACGAGCCTGGGCAACAAAGTGAGACTCTGTCTCAAAAACAAAACAAAACAAAGGCCTGAGCTGCTTCAGGCCACCAGTGCCCCTGGGGGGCTGCCCCCCACTAAGTTAGCAGTGCTGGCAGGGGCAGATCCAGGGCCGGGGCCTCAGTCCCACCTCGTGAGGAGGGTTCCTTGCAGGTGACGGGTGGGCGCAGGGCGGGGACCAGCCAGTGTCTGTGTAGTTAGCACAAAACCACTCGTGGTTTGAACTGTAAAAGCGAGGCCGTTCAAGACCCTGGCTCCCTAAGCAGCGCAGTTACAGAGGCGTCGCGCAGTGAGGCCCCATTTCATCCCCTCACCCAGCTGGCAGAAGTGTCTCGTGGAACCTGTCCCCTGGCTCCCTGAATGGGGGCGTCCACGCGGGGCCCCAGGACGCCTAGGGGACTGGGAGGCCAGCTGCATCCTGGGAGAGGTCCTGAGCCTCGTCTGTGAATTGCTGTTAAAGTCCAGGACGAGTCCAGACTTAACCTGACGTTAAGCTCCCGTCCTTGGAACTGCCTTGTTTCTTACTCCCTGTTGATGGTTCTTACCTTGTACAAAGTTGAAAACCGTCACTTGCCTCATTTCCTACCAGTGTTTCTTCTCTCCGGCTTTCCTCTCCTCTCTTACTCGGTGAAACTTGCTCATTGAATTTTACTCACTAATATTTTGAATATTCTTTTTTTATATTTTTCAATTTTATTCTATTTATATTTCCCCCCCATTTATTTTCATTTTCTCCTTTCCTTTCCTTTCCTTTCCTTTCCTTTCCTTTCCTTTCCTTTCCTTTCCTTTCCTTTCCTTTCCTTTCCTTTGTCCGGGCCCGCTTCTCCCCACAGGGCACACCGCTACACCACCACGCTCCGGCGTTTTTGACCGAGCAGCGGTGGGGCCCCGCACGCGCGGGAGCCGTGTGGTCTGACCACCGAAGAAACAGACGCAAGATGCCTCTGCCAGCCCTGGCGGAACCACCCTGCGGTAAGTTGGGCTCCCCTGCTCAGTGCGCCCCCAACCGGGCGGCCCGCGCGTCCACCACGGACCAGGGAGCGGGCCGAGTCGACAGACGAAAGGCCACGCCGCCGGGCCGGGCAGGGCGCCACTACCTGCGACTGGGCGTTGACGCTTGGGCCGTAGTGGACCAGCTCGGGGAACCTCATCTCGCAGGCCAGCGCGGCGCTCGCTGCGAGCCGTGTTCTTTATATCTGCAACACAGGGGACGCGCACACCCACAACGGGTTCCACCCGGGCCCTGCGTGCTGGACCCCAGGTCTGGGAACAGGCGCTGGCTGGGGGCCGGGGGGCTTCCTTTATGGCGCGAGGGTAGAGGACAGCGCGTGTGCCTTGATGCCGCGCACGACCCTGGAGAGTGCCTCAGAGTACGGGGGCGAGATTCTCCCCTTTCCTCACGAAAAACAACGCTGAAGAAGACACACACTTCTGGACACCGAGTCTGCTGCATGCGGCAGCCAGCGCCCGCGTGGACTCAGGACGCACCCGCTCCTTCTCCACCTGTGCAGTCACGCGGGCAGCCGACCCTCAGCCAGGCCTGGGCGCTCAGGGGACGGGGAGCTGGCACAGCTGCGGGCTCAGCCACTCATGCCTGGCCGCACACACGCGCAGCCCGCGGCCCGGCAGGAGAAGAGAGGCAGGAGAGTGAAACAGACGCATGCACGTGGAGAAAGGAAAGGGCAAGATGGATGTCCATAATGCACGCGCCGAGAAGAAAATACGGGAACCAGCGTGCCAGTCCGTGACGTGTGCCTGCAAGTTCCAGCTACTCGGGGAGGCTGAGCAGGAGGATCGCTTGAAGCCCAAGCAGTTGGGAGGCTGCTATGAACTGTGATGACAGCCACTCACACTCGTACACCGGGGTACAGGGAGGAAGGGAAGGAAAGGAAAAGGAAAAGGAAAAACGAGGAAAAGGAAAGAGGGACAAAGAGGAAAGAAAGAAAGGAGACAAGGAAAT